TTCTGACACTGCTCCCAGATGGGGTCCAGGGAGGGAGGCAGGGGCCTGAGGCCTGGCCCTGCCAGGTGGCAGCCTACCCCCAACTCAATCCTTCCTTGGGCATCAACCCCTGGATGTTGGGGAAACTCTTTTAAGTTACCTTGTTCTTCTCACTGTCAACACTGAGGTCTGCCAGCAGACCCCAGTCTGCTGTCTGCTGTCCCCCGCCATTCCAGCTCTCCATACGTGTCCATCTGTGTCCCCGGGGCTCCCATCTCTCTCTGGACGCCCGGAACAAGCTGATAGGGCTATGGCTGTGTAGCATTTGTGCTGGCCGCCAGGCTGGCGAGGGAACAGTCTGCAGCTGGGTAGCTGCCAGGCCAGAAATGATGGGAACCCTGGGCCCCAGCCCAGCCTCAGCCCTTCCACCCCACCCTCCACGTAGAAACCTCTCGTCTAATGAGGCCAAGGAGGCCAGGAGTGGGGGGAATCACCTTGGGGCCACTCCAGGAAACCCAGGACAGGTGTGGTCAACCCTTACTTGATAGCCTGCAGCTTTGCTTCACTGTTGAGGTAGGAAGGGGGTGCTGCTCCCAGAGGGGTCTGTCAATAAGTGCCCACCCGAGCCTCAGGAGACATGTGTCCCCAGCTGCCCACCTCCCTCCATGGGTGAATAGGAAAGTTCCCAGACCACTGGCCCAGTGAGGAGAGAAACGCTGTCTCTTCCCGCCCCAGTGAAGGGGAACACCCTCACCCCACTCCCCCTCAATACACCCCCTCTCCCTTTCCTGGGAATGGCTCTCGGTGGACTGCTGAGACAGGCCACAGGCCACAAGACACCCATCTGGTTCCAATCAGGAGAGCAGGTTTCCAGATCAGTGGGAACACGGTGGGGGCACCCCTAGCACCCCTCCCCTGGAGGGCTGCCCCTGTCCTAACTGCTCTCTTTCACCCCCCAGGTGGGCCTCACACTCACATGCAGCCACTGAAAAGTGAGGAGAGGCAGGGAAACCTTAGGGAGCCTGGGCCTGCCTTTTCCTATCAATGGTCTAACCACAGAACCCCAAACCTCCGTCCATAGCCGGCATCTAGCCCACAGAGAAGAAGGAAGGGAGAAACAATGAAAGAGGGGCCTGGTGGAGGCAGAAAAGCCTGCAAAGAGCAAGTGGAAGGTCCTAGAAGTCACCAAACCCTGCTGGAGCTCCTTCTAACAGGCAAACAGGTCCTAGGAAGGAAGTCTAAGAGAACCACCCCAGCCCGGTTCACACATTGGCCCGCGGACCTTTACAAGAACTCCCTAGATAGGATCTGCCATCCCCATCCGACAGATGGGGAAACTGAGGCTCACAGTGACAGTCTTACCTATCCAGCCTTACCCAGATAGCCAGCGGCCAGGTCTGCCTGATTTCAGAGTCGGAGCTCCAGGATGCCCTGCATGAAGGCCCGACTGTCTTGGATGGACACGGATGGATAGCTGGAATGGTGAGGGACAGCAGACAGGACCCAGGACCATAATTTTGCCTTCCCTGCTGCCTCCGTGCCTTAACCAGATGGGAGCCTGGTTCTGGAGACATCTAGCCTCCCTAGCTGGGGCCTGCTTTGGTTCCCAGCCTCTGTCTTCAGGCCCAGGAGGAAAGATACAGGCCTAGAAAAACAGTCTCCCTGCTCATGGCTTGGTGCCCGGGCTCTGATTGGCTCTGAACGACCAGCATCTGGACCCCAACTTCCCCATCGAGAAAATGGACTAGGCTATCTAAAATTGGGTTCAATGGTGATCGTGTCTCTCCAACCCTCCATTCCCATCATCCAGAACAAACCTAGAGGCTCCCCTTAGCTTGGGTGGTCTTTAGGAAAAAGGTTCCGACCCCAGTTGCAAAATTTAGAGTTGACAAGGAGGCCAAGAGAAGGAGGGGACCCGGTCAGCCACGGAAGCCGCTAATCTCATCTCTCCCTGGGGGACTTGACTGCCGCCTCCTCTGAAAGCAATTTGTCATGCCCTGAATTAAGTGACTCCAACAAGGGTTTAATTTCAGTTTAATGGCTCTGTTTTTATGTGTAATTAAATACCACTGCATGGCGGAAATATGTTGTTTGCACTTTAGAGACTGTGTAAGTGCCGGGGAAGCCAATCCCACCGGGTTTCTACTCCCAGGCCCCACCAGCCCCTCCCCTTGCCTGCCTGGAATCATCCAGGTCAGGGAGGAAGGGGTTGGGACAGGGGAAATTGGCTGGGGAGGGAGAGGCCATCCTGGGGGCCCCTACTCAGTAGAGCATGTTTCCAATTATCCACAGCATCCCCCCTTCTATACTTGACCCCAACCCTCCCAACCCCTGGGGCCTCAGACATAGAGAAGACATGTCACCCTGACACAGAGGCTCGAATTAGACCCTTGGCTGGCTGGAGGGGTGTTTGCTCCCCATGGGTGTGCCCGAGGATCTACCCCATTGTCTCCAACCTTTATTGTTCCCATTAACCTCTACCTCCCCCTTGAATAGCTTCTTCCTCATTGACCCTCTCCCCTAATTCAAAAACTGCCCCTTTGCTCCCCTTCCTTACGCTGACCCCACAGCCCAGCAGCCAGCCTGCCTCCCCGCTCCATCCCACCCCATCATCTTAACTTTCTTTCTAGGTCAGAGGTGACATTGCCACAGGGGTCTGGAATGCAAGGGGAGTTTCTCCAGCTGGGAATGTTTCAGGGTCATTTACCACACAGCCCTAATCTCCCCCAGGAAGGGGAGCCAAGCAGGCGCCCCAAGTCCTGCATGGCTTGTAACATTCCTGGAGCAGCTTGGTGGGAGAGTCTGGCCCAAAGGACAAAGGGTTGGAACAACAGGCGTTTTCCTGGAAGGAGTTGAAGGGATGGCAGTGGCTGGAGCCCAGGCCATGACAGGAGGAGGGGCCACAGACTCCCCACCTGAATCCAGCTGGAGTCAGTCCAAGTCTCCATCTCCTTCTCCTGCTCCCACCCCGCCTTCTTCCAGTGGAAACTCCAGCCCCCAACCCTCAGTCGACATCAGGGTTTGATCTCCACTAACGAGCTAGGTAATGGAAACCAAATGCCTGATGTAGATGGGCGGGCACCAGAGGGCTAGGGGATCCTGGCGGAGTCCCCCCACTCTCCAGCCCCAAGTCACAATGGGGGGATACTGTTCTTGGGGAGGCAGGGCAGAGCATGCAAGGAATTAAGAGTTTGGTCCTTGCCACCTCCCACCTCCCACATCTGTTGCAGATGTCCAGAGCCTGTGATGGCGACGAGAGGGACGCTCGAGGGTATTTTGAGGCCAGAGGGCAAACTGGGTGCAAGCTAGGCCAGCAAGCCCCCTCTGGAGCCTGGTTCTCTCCATGGTGCCCCTGCTCAGGGCAGTCACTTCATCTGGCCTGGCCTAGAGAGCTTTTATTCCTTCTTCTACGACACCTAGGATGTGGTCCCCAGGTCATGGGGGCAAGCTCCAGGGGCAGGGGGTGGTGTTTTCTGAGGGAACGTCCCCTCCCAAAAGTGCAGGCTCTATTCTCGGTTGCTAAACAGCTCCCCACAAACCCTGCAACAGGAACCCCTGATGAGTGAGGGTCCCTCACTCCCAGCCAGAAGGGGAGCATGTACCAGGACTTTGTCGTGTTCGTGCCTCGCCTCACCCTGTTCACGCTCAGCCTGCAGACACACTACACGAGTCTGCATCTTGTCTTTACACACCCAGACCAGACAGACACGCCCTGTGAAAGCCCATACTCTCACTCACATTTCAGCCATCATGTCGCCATGTTCACACTCACACTCACACACACCCCCCCAAAAAACGCAGCCCAGGTCATACATCCAGCTGCTTCCAAAGCAGACCCTGCTGATTTAGAAAACCAGGAAAGGAAAAGGACCCCCTGCTACCCACTACCAAGGGGGCAAGGTAAGAGCACTGGGAAGGGGGCTGAAGAGGTGCGTTAAGAGATACTCTCCCCTCCACTTGGCCTAGGGACCTAAAACTTCATCACAGCCTGTACTCGCCTACTACCCCACATGCCTTGACCCCAGCCCCAGAAGTAGCAGCTCGAAGGAGGGTAGCCTGGGGGCTGAGGAGGCACAGCCAGTGTCACTTTGCTCTTTATCTCCTGCAGCTGGCAGGGGTCCCAGTGTGCCTCGGGGAGACCAGATGGCTGCAGATGCCGCCACCAAGACAGAGCCAAAGAGTCAAGGAGCGCAGCTCCAGACCCGATGTAGACAGCACAGGAGCCAGTGAAATCGAGAGGACTGTCGGCGGGGTGGGGGGTGGGGGGGCACGGGGGACACCCCCGGGAGAGGGGCCTAGGAATCCAGGAAGCAGGCTCCCCAGAGTGCAGCAGACTCAATGCACAGGGACTCCAGGCTGCCCTCGACCTGCCTGGAAGGGACCCCTATCCAAGAGATCTCACACACACACACACACACACACACACACACACACACCAGAGGTGGGGGAGGGGAAGCACACTGGGAGCTGGCCAGGAATCCAGTCACTCTGCATAGGCACAAATTCTGGGGCTGCCACTGAGAACTCACAGCCTGGTGAGGCCAGGACAGCAGATCAAAGATGCCCCCACTCCCAAGCCTTCGGATCAAATCTCAACACACACCTCCCCCCAAGTCAGGAATCTAGGCAGTCAGAGCTGTGGAATGTGCTGGAGAGTTTACCCCCTTTCCCCAACTTCAGGGCAGTTCCTCCCTACACGAAATTAATAAATGAAATCCAGATGCAAACCCAGGCCGTCTGATGCCCTAGGAAATGCCCCAGCTTCACACACCAGCTGATCCGGGAATAGCTCTGGCCCCCAGGGCTGTCCTTGCTTGCTCTCGCCTTTCAGAAGCCATTGTTTGCTCACCAGGGGTCTGAACACAGCACAGTCTCTGGGGACAGCATGGCCCCCTAGAAAGAGACTATGTGTGGAAGAGACTGATGCTTTGCAGTCATTTGACCTGGTATGACAGGTCTGGGGACCACGCAATGCCCCCCCAAACTCTGGGCATCCCTGTCTCTGATTGTAAATAAATCAACCAAACACAACTGTTCAGATTTTTGTTTTGTTTTGTTCTGTTTTGTTAAAAAAACAAAAAAAAAAACAAAAAAGATAAGACAAGACATCATGGCCACCTGGTAGGTCCCTAAGTCTCCTTCCATCCAGTCTAGCCAGAAAATGCCCAGCGGGGAGGAAGGCAGAGGGGAAGATGGAAGAAGATGGAAGGAGAGAGACAGAGCCATGGGCCTGAAGGCGGAGATCCCGGTGACTTGGTGGCTTTGTGGCGGTGACAAGGGAGGAAGCAGAATGCGAGACAAGGCCCCGGCCCCGGCCCCGGCAAGCAGGCCCTCCTCTCCATTTGGCACAAGCAGTTCCACCATCATGCATTCTCTCCTCCCTCCCTGACCCTCAGAGATGGGCCCTTCTCCCTCCTAGCCCTCTGTCCTCTAGGTCTTCCTCGGAACCTCTTCCTTCCCCGCAGCAGGGTCTCCGCTGCCAGGCAACCAAGCAGATGGCACAAAGCCCAACCCCAAGGTGGCTTGTCTCTGCAGGTCCTTCCCCTTGGCAGGCCGGAGCTTGGGGAGTGGGTCCGGGTCTCCTGACCATTGCATCACCTGCCACCCCACACTTTCCCAACAGCCTCTACCCTCTGACTAGATTGGGGGAGGGGTGTCAACGGCCAAGGTGTTTGTCTACTTTCTTCCTCTGATTCTGAAGTGGGACCTCTCTCACAGGCGTATGTTCACCTCATAGGATCTGGCCCCACAGGCCCAAATCAGAGGAAGTCAGAATAAGAGTCCCCAGGGCTGGCATGTAGTATGTGGTCAATACATGTTTTTAGATGAATGAATGAATGAATGAATGAATGAATGAATGAATCCAGGATCAATTTGGGAACACAACAGGCTCCCCATTGCTACTCTCAGACCTCTCAGGCTATCTAAGGCCAAAGAGGACACCCCTAGGCTTTGGCTCACCCTAAGAGCACACCATGTGCACACACACTCACACACACACCCAAGGGAAACTTCTGGGCCAGAGGCAGAGCCAAGACTCAGGCTCAGGCTCTGCAGCCTCGAGGGGATGTGGGTAGCGGGGGGCACTGAGTCCCCTGCCTGCTGGCAGGGCTCACTTGCGGAAGCTGTCAGCCAACTGGTGGCAGTCCAGCTCCCCCTTCGGCTCCAGGCCCCCCGGAAGCTTCACTCCTGTCTTCCGGTCCACACACCAGCACTTGCCACGCTGCCCGTCCAGAGCTGGGTGGCACTGCCAAGACAAGGGTGTGAGAGGTCAGTCCCCAGGCAGCCTGGCCCAATCCAGCCCAGCCCCACCTCAGGCGGTTGCTCCAAGACAGTCTCTGGGGCTAGAGATTATTTTTTGAGCAGGCAGCTCACTGGAGTAGAGAACCTGGTCAGGAAGGAAAGGTCCAGAGAGTTTGGGAAGGCAGGCTCCTGAGAAGGTTCTGCAGCCTACCTGGAGGGGAGACAGGACCCATGGGATGCAAAGATACATCTGGGTTTAAAAGGCAAGCCTTCTGGCCGGAGATGCTATGAGTGTGTGTTGTAACAGGGCTGGGATTTAAGAATGGGATGATGGTTGAGGGCAGGGCGCAAGTTAAAGTTAGGGGAGCATCAGTGTAAGAACTGTCGTTGAACTGAGAATTATGACTAAAAAGACCTTGGGTGAAATGAGGGTTAGAGCCCAGGTCAGGAACAGAATTGGGATAAAGAGGTCAAGGTCAGAACACTGCTGGGTTAACGTTTGGGTTGGGATTAGACAGCTGGAGGAGGAAGACAGGAGAAAGGCATTTCTCAGATTTAGCTCCAGGTTTAAAGGTGGAGTGAAGTTGTCTCAAGAGTCAGAACTGCACCAGGGGTCAACAGTCAAGTCACAACTTTCAGTGGAATAAAACCGGGGGAGGAAAACTCACGGAGGGGGCCTCCCTGGTGGCACTGGGGTTAAGTCTCAGCGTTATCAAGCTATCACCAGCCACTGTGGCATGACATGAGTTTGGTCCCTGGCCAGGGAGCTGACCTACATGGCACAGCAGACCTCTCCTGTCTCGCCTGCTGCTCCCCTCAGCAGTGTATTTCAGTCAGTCTGCCTGTTCTGTTCCCCACTCTCTCTGGTGAATCCTCTCACCCCCGCACCTCTGGCCTGCACCCCAGCTCTTGTATGCATAAATAAATAAAATAAATCTTTTTTAAAAATACATGGAGGCCTCCCTGGAGGCGCAGCGGGTTGAGTGCCGCACTGTGAAGCTGTCCACGGCCTCTGCAGTGCAGGTTCCTACCGGCTGGCAAGAATCCCACACGGAGTGGCAGACCTCCCCTGTCGCACCCGCTGCTCCCCTCAGCAGTGTTTTCAGTCGTCTGCCTGTTCTGCTCCCTGCTCTGTCTCTGGTGAATCCTCACCCCACACCTCTGGCCTGTACCCCAGCTCTTGTATGCATAAATAAATAAATCTTTTAAAAAAAATACATGAAACTGTACAACACAAAGCTGAATCCTAAACTAAACGATGGACTTGATTTAAAATACTGTATTGCTGTTGCTTCCTGGCTATAACAGGTACACCAGTGCACATGCACAGTGCAAGAGGTGCAAAGTGGGACCGGGAGTGGGGGAGTGCATGGGACTCTGCTTCCTGCTTAGTATTTCTGCAACCCTAAAACTGCTCTTTAAAGTCTATTTTTTTAATTAGGGAAAAAGTTTTTAAAATTGAGACAAGGACAAAATTGATGTTGCGATCAAGGTTGGAGACAGCTTTGGCACTGGTCTTGAGGAGAGGCCCTCTCTGCCCTCCACTCGTTGCACACCCCACCACCTCCTCGAGTCACCCTGGGCATCCTCTGCAGGCCTTTTCCCTCCTTGCTAGGCCTCTGTTGATCAAACAGTGACCCACTTCTTGGATTTGTCTGGAGTGTGGAGGGGGGGGGGTGGAGAGAGAGAGAGTGTGTGTTTGTGTGTGTACACCCACAAAGAATGGAAAAGGGGATCCAGACCAGAGCGCCCAGACCACACCCAGCATGAGGCACCCCAGGGCCCTGCCCAGATACACCACCCTTTCAACAGGGCCAAGCCCTGAAGACCAGAGAGGAGTTGGAACAGGCTTATTTACTGAATCACAACCTCCTGGGGGCTTCTAGAGGAATCCATGTTCCACGGACGTGAGGGAGGAGAGGTTTCTGCACTCAGGCCTTCCCGCCTACCTCCCTATTTCCACCCGGAGCTCCTATCTCCAGGTGTCAGTCGTGGCTCCACGGCCACCCTGGAGGTATCAGGTGTTTTGGCTGTTCAGGTTGGGAGCGGGGAGAAGCAAGCTGAGTTTCCTGCTCAACAGCTCACTCCAGATGAGGCCTCAGACATTCGGTGAGGAAGAACTACTCGTGGGATGGGAGCAGGGTAGCTGGGTGTGCTGGGAGGCAGCGCTGGCAGGATGCTGGGTCTACAGCACAGAGGCTGACTCCAGAAATGCTGGAAACAGCTGGAGACGGTGGGCAGGGCTGCTGACCTACCATGAACTCATTCTGCCTTTGGGCTGAACTTTAGCCCTCCCTCGACCTCAGTCTCATCTCCAAAGTGAACGAGGTGGGCAAATGAGCTAAGGTGCTGAGGCTGGCGGGGACTTTTGCTGGGTAGGGGGCGATTCTGAGGGCGAGGCTGGAGCTGGGAAGCCTCCCTTTCCTGAGAGCTCCCTCTTGGACCACCCTGTGGAGAAGCAGGATTCCCTGGAGCCGAGGCCAGGCCGAGCCAGCAGAGAGGGAGACCCACCTGCTTGGGGTGGAAGTTGCCGTTGCGGTCGCAGTTGGGGATGGGGATGATGTAGAGGTCCTCGTGGGTGCGACTCTGCGAGGCGGCCAGCCGCTCCAGGGCCCGGTGCAGCTCACTCTGGCAGGAGCCCTGAGGCTGTAAGAGGAGGAAGAAGAAGAGGAAATGCTCAGCAGAAGGAGAGAGGCAGGAGGACTAGGGCTGGGGCTCAGACCAGGACTCATGTCCTGAAAGGAGGCGCAAGGCCTGGAGGCTGGGTAAGACCCAGTGAAGTGAAGGGGGAGGCTCTAGTTCAGGGGACACTGGTCAGGACATTAGAAAGACATCGAAGAGAGGATCTTGAGCCAAAGAGCTTCCAAAAAGGAGGGGTGTGACGTGAAGGGACCCTGTGGGGAAAGGGCTTGGGGACAGATGAAATCATAAAATTAACCACTCGGAAGACCCAGGCACAATCTATCAGATCCAGACATCAGAAAGGACGTTAGTCAGACATTGGAGCAGGGCCGCAAGTTCCCCTGCCGTGGCCAGCATTGATCCTGTAGTGCTTGGGAAGATCTAGGGTGGGGGATCCAAGAGAGGGGCTAGGAAACATGGGGAGGCTTGGGGTCACCCCTGTTTACCAACAGCACGGAAGGGTTTCAGTGTTTAACCACCGCTTGACCAGTACTGATGCGTACAAGTGACAAGCAGGAAAGGAGCCTCAAAGAAAGGAATGAAGACTCCGTGGGTCCTGATGACACATATTAGGTGCATCTTGTACACAGTAGGCATTCAACGGACGTCTGCCAGACGGCCACAGTCCAGACCTGCCAGTGGCAGCGGCGGTGTGCGCGTGTGTGCCTATCTGTACTCAGAGGTAGCTGTAGCTCAGAGGTCCTCACCACGGGCCGCATGTCCTCCCGGGGCACCCCGATGACCTTCATCTTGCCCCCATTGGTGCTGCGGTCTCGAATTTTGGCAAAGTGCTTCTGCAAACACCTGCGGTCATGGGCGCTGCAGGGGCTGAAGCTGTTGTTGGGGTGGTCGCCCTCATCCTTGTCTGCAGTAGGGTCAAGACGGGGAGAGGTCAGCACAGGAAAAGGACGGGGCAGCACACAGAGCCAGCCTCCCGCCCCCTTTCTTCTCCATCTTGGCACAGGGGCCTGAAGGCAGAGAGAAATGAAAGCTCCCCCCTCCCAGCCCCCGTCTCCCCTCCACTCCCCTAGAGCTCCTCAGGAGAATATTCTTGAAGTCCTTGACTTGTCCCTCACTCCACCCAGTCCAGCCCTCAGATGAGTCACCAGCTGGAGCTCCAGACAGCAGAAGAGTCCCCTGGGCACTGCAGGGAGGTCTAAGGCTGGGGGGGACAAGATCTTGTTCTCCCCTCCATTCAGCTCCTCCAACCACCCCCCTCTCCGTCTGCGCGCTCTTCCTGTCTCCTTTCTTGCTCTTTTCGGCCTCTGACTCAGCCAATCAGGGATCTCCAGGGCTGATGGCTCTGCTGACCCTCTTCCAAGTGGCCAGAACCAGAGTTTCCATGAGTGATGAGAAATCTGGCCCAGAAGTTCTCTTCCCATTGGCTAAACGGGGGAGAAGTGGGCGTGGCTGCATATGCCTGCATGTGAAAGCATGTGCATGTGTGTGTGTGCACATGTGCGTAACATCCGTGTGGCACCAGGACCAAAGAGCACCCTCAAGCACTCTTCAGTATTCCCCAAAGCCCCCCATCCTGAGACTTCAGACCCCATTCCAGAGCCAGAGCACTGGGCATCCGGAGATGGGGGTGCCAAGGTTGAACCAGCACCCTCAACCTGGGATCGCCTGAAGACTCAGTCTGAACTCAAGAAAAACTCCTGAAGTGCTGAAGGGCGACCGCTGCTCCTCTCTCCCCGAGGCAGCTAAAGCCGGACTGCAGGGCTGAGCTGGAGAAAGGGGTTGGAGGACCCCAAGTCAGAACCACCTCTGAACTGCTCCGGCTTGACAGCTCGCTGCCGGCCTGAGTGCAAAGCCGCTGCCAGCATTCCAGATGTTGGCAGCAGGACAGAAGGTTACATCTGGTTTGCGTCAAGATTTTTTTCCTGAGGAGTTAGCAGGTTCCTCCATGCATGGCAGTGGTCCCAGAGCTGTCTCTGGGTCAAATGGTATTTTTCCACCTCGCCAAAGTTAGTTGGGGGGTGGGCTCTCTTTTTATTCTTCCAGCTCTGGAAGGTGAGTGGGGGATGGGGGAGAGTCTGTAGATAAAGGGAAACCAGGCAAGGAGGAATCTAGACCCTCGGGAAGAAATGTCAAAATTCCACACCAAAGGTTATTTATAAAATCAAGTCATCGGGGATGGGGAGAAGGTTTAGTCATGGGTGGAGGACTGGCTCAGAAGAAAAGATCAAAGGGGAGGAATAAACAGAGCAATAGATAGACCCCGTCCTCCTGCGCGTCACATCCCAGAAAGGATACAGGGAGACTTCTGTCTCAGAAATGAGGTCCAATTCCTGAAGGCCAAGCAAGGAGTAGACACTCGAGCAAGATCTCCCAGCAGCGTGGGTGGCAAAACAAGGGGATGATAAACTTCGGAAGACCAGGATCGTGCCAAGGGGCCAAAAGAAGAGGGACCCTGAGCCCACAGTTTGGAACTAGAGGAAAAATATGGAATCTAGGCTCTTCCCTGAAGACCCTCCCAGGGAAATTTCTGGCCAATAAGATCCAAGGTGGAGAAAGAGAGAAGGGGGGGTGGGGGGGAGACCAAGCCTGCGCTGCACAAAGCCAAGAGACTTGTGGATGGGCTGGAGCTGGAGCCGGGGAATGGAAAGAGGAAATGGAGGACCTGCAAGAGGCAAATCTTGGAGCCACAGCTGAGTGTGAGCAAGAGCATGCCCACTTTACCAAGGACAGGCCAGGAGGGCTAGCAAGGACTTGCCTGCCCCAGCCCCACACTAACCCCAGGGGCACCTCCCCTCCTGGAAAGGTCTCGCTGTCTTTCCTGGGAATTTGCCTTCCTTTCACCACCACAAGGGGAGCACGACTTTCCCCAGGGACTTTGGTTCTCTCGGTCAATGCAGAGATCTCCGCGCTGGGATGCTCGATGGGGGGACCATGCCCTGCAACGCTGAGTTTCAGGAGTGCAAGTTCGCAAATGACTAACACTCGGGGGATTGCTAGTGGGTATCTGGAATGTGTATCCCTTCTTAGGAGGTGTCAGTGGAGAGAACAAGGGGGAAACCTGGGGCCGCCTGGGGCGCAGATGAGCCTGAAGGTGCGGCTTCTGAGCGGGTGTGGCTGGGTCTCCACCCCACAGACGGGGGCTCCCTGGGGAAGGCTGAGTTCACAAGCTGCCTGGCCGCCCCTTCCTTCTTTCCCCGCTGCCCAGCGCACTACTGCCCGGTTCGTGTGCAGCTCAAAGCGAGACACACCAGGCAGGGAGAGTGCTCACTTACTCTCTCGGGGTCACACACACACAGAGCAGACCCACATCCTCCCGCTCGGACACACACAGGCTGAGACTCAGAAATCACAAACATATACAAACCATCACGTGTGCAGACACGCGCTCGGCCGCCCGTGCACACCCACACACCCTCAGGCACCCTGACCGGGGCAGAAACAGACCCGGGAGGGCACACCAAATGCACCCTGGCTTGTTGACTTTCTGTTTAATCTGTAACTTTTCCTCACCCAGCCTTGCTTCACTGGCAGATGCGGGACCCACCTAGGATCCACCCCTAGGCACTGGGTTTGGGAGAGTAACGGTCTCAGTCTTAACCTTTCCAGCTCCAAAACTGGCTAAATCCTTGTTACTACCCTGATCACACAGTTCCAGCCACCTGTGCTGTTCTCCCAGGGGGTACCCTCTGGAAAAACACCCATCCCAGAGGGGTCCCCTCAAGAGTCAGAGTCAGACCCAGCCCTCTGAAAGATCAGACCTACTGGCCTGGGAATGGCTTGTTTGGGAGGTGGGGCTTCCCAGGGATGCCAGGGCACCCCCTCCAGGCCCTGCTTGGAGCTAGGCTAGCACCGTCCAGCCCCAAGGGAAACCTTGGTGGGTGCTCCAGCAACAGAGGAAGAGACAGTGCCCAAGAGGGAAGAGGCCCCACAACCCTGGCACCTCTGGCTGCACAGTTCATGGTCAAAGGCAGAGAATTTCCTCTTTCTTGCTCCCTGATTTCATGCCCTAATTTCTCCTTAACCCCAAGCCCTGTCCACATTGAGACACCCACAGAAAGCCTGAGTGGTGGGTGGGCCCAGCCACCAAGTCACAGAAGCTTCAGCTTTGATCTGGAGCATCCCACCTGCCCTGCAAGCAAGACTTTTTTCTCTGCCTCTGGCTCAGACAGGAGAAGCCAAGACCACCCATGCCGGGAACCAGGTCCAGTCCTTAAGGATGAGCCCGGGGGTAGCCCCTCGCCATCAGGCAACGCTGGCGGCCTCCGGTGAAAGGCCGAGAAGGACAGCTGGCTCGTCCTCCCCACGCAAACAGCAGCAAAAGGCACCCAAATCTACACTATCCTCTCAATTCCCCTAACTGTCCCCCAGTTTTCTCACTTGCCCTACTGTCCCCTAAAGTCCCAAGCTTCAACTTAAATCCTCTTAGCTTCTTCTCCACCACCATCCTCAGCAGCGCTCCCATGTATTGAGCTTACTCTATACCTGACACCCCAAGCTGTGGGGCACGTCCTATTGCCCACTCCCCCTCTTACAGATGAGGAAAGGAGAGGGGAAAGACGGGGCGGCGGGAAGGGGAGAAGTCCCGCGTGACTCCTATGTCTTTAAATGGAAAGACGCTGATGCCCAAGTCACCAATAATCCCGGCTCTGCCAATACAAAAGAAAAAGTGTTAAGCAGCCATGCGTCTCCCCCTCCCCCAAGGCAGAGAATTTCTGGAAAGGCCAGTTCCCATGACATGACTAGATTCCCAGTACTGAAGTAGGGGGAACAATATTTGCTGCACCGACTAAAAATTAACCCAGCCTGCATATTCCCTAGCCCTGTCCCAGCGGGGCCCACGGGACAGTCTAGGCACTCCCCCGGCCAAACTCTGACCTTCCACTGCCCACTCCTCCAGAGTCCAGGAGTCGAGGGTCAGCTCACTGATGCAGAGTCGTGTGGACTTGTGACGCACACACGTGCCCCCGCCCCCCCCCCCACCTCTGGTGGCCAGAGCAGCGCTGTTAACCCACAGCCTGTTCTGGCAGTGAAAACTGAGACAGGCGGGCTGGGAGGGAGGGGGAGAGAGAAGGGAAAGATCTGCTGTGGGGCAAAGAGTAGCCAGTGGGAGAACTGCCCCCCGCCTTAGCCGCTGAAGCTCAGGCCAGGAGGGAAAGGTAGAAGAAAGAGCTTGACCCCTCTGCCAAACCAGTCCCCAATCTTGGTCCTGGAGACCTGCATGCGCTGCGTGGGCAAAGGACCCCTCCAGGAGGGAAGGAGCCTTGGACATGGCCCTATAACCCAGAGGGGAGCTAAAGCACCTTTGGAGGTTGGTTTGCGTGAGGCCTACAGGGCATCACAGAGTGTTCATGTTACGCCTCACCCCCCCCCCCCCACAAAGGCCCTAGGGGAACAGATCTCTCTCCACTCCAGGATGCAATGTTCCCACCCAGTCAGGGAGGGAAGGGCACCAAGATCCTCTAAGGGCTCTTCTGCCCTGTGTTCAAGTTGGTGAGAGAGGAGGAGGCAACGAGCAACTACCACTAGAAGGAGCACTACCTGCTCTGGGGCCAGATCCCCGCCTGCCAGGGGACGACGGGGCTATTATGAGAAAGAGGCCCCTTATGTCCAGGGATCAGCCCTCACTCCCTGACCCCTTTGGTGCCAGGGCCCCTCCTCTCCCACTGGCACTGGTATCTCTGCCCCTGGATCAGCGACTTACTCCCCCAGAACCCCCCTCCTCAGATGTGCTGGACGCCACACTGGCATTTCTCCTACAATGTTTTCTGCTGACCCATCTCTCACTGCCCAGGGGCAGGAAGGGCAGAGAGGCCCAAGGCCCAGACCCCTGGGGTCCACCTCCTTCCTGTTTTCCCTGCATCCTGCTCTCCTCCCGCTAACAAGCTGGGGAGGATTGAGGAAGTGAAGCGGTCTGGGACCCAGGGCAGGAAGCTTGGGGCCGAGTCCCAGCATCCGGACTGCGACAATGGAAGTTTCAAGCACCAGGAAAAGAGACCGACGCAGACAGGGGCACAGGGAAAGCAAAACAGAGCCCGAGAGGGAACCAGAAACCAGAGGCAGAGATGCAGGAAAGCAGAGAGATTCCAAAAGTAAACAGAGAAAGAGACAGAAACAAAGGCAGAAGAAAAAAAAAAAAAAAAACCAGGGACAGAGATCCAGAAAGAGGCTGAGATGAAAGTGAGAGAAGAAACAGAAACAGAAAAAAGGGGAGTGAGAGAGAGAGAGAGAGAAACTGACAGTGGGCAGAAGCCCGAGAGGAAAGGGAAATGCTGTTAGTGAAACCAGAGGTAGAGAAACAGCAGGAAGAACAAAAGAATAAGAGAAAGAAGGGAGAGAACAGGAAAGCTTCTAAGAAGGCTGAGAGGCTCACTGAGAAGTGGAAAGAGAGAATGTGTAAGAATGACTTTAGGGCAAAGGGCCTTCTGAGCCTCTCTCCCTCCCGCTGCAATCCACTACCCCCATCTCACCCCCGCCAGGCTTCACAGCTCTGGGCTGGAAGACAAGACTTGCTTCTTCTACCACCTCAAATAACACCTGTCAGGAGAAAGGAGTGGGGGTGCCTGAGTGCCAGGGCAGAAGGTAGCGTCCAGGCTTGGCAGCAAGCCCTCTGCATCCCCAGTCCACCTCCGCCCCGCGCCCCCCACCAAAAAAAAAAAAAAAATCCAGCTAGGTGAGCTGGCTGGGGCTCTGCAGAAAGGCACCTCTGATCTCCGATGTCCCTCACCTCCAAAGCCCCTCTCCTGTGCGTGCCCCACTCCACCCTGCCTCAATGTCAAAAGGCCTTGCAAGCCCTGGCTTCTCAGACCGCTGCAGGTTCACCTGTGGCCAGGGGGAGGGAAGGTCCCTGGATCAAGCACATAAGCCCCCCCCCCACCACCACCACCTCCCCATCCTCCCGTTATCAGACCCTAGATGTCTCATTCAGGGGAGGGGGGGCCAGGCTGGACCAGGTCACTTAATTTTCCACTCTGGCACCAGCAGCCAGGACTACCATGGAGGCCGCTCCTCCCAAATGGCACTCCTGGGAGGTTTGACAAGGAAGGACGGGACAGAGTCCTCCTTGATGGTGGCAACAGGCTGCCAGGGACTGGAGAGCAGTTTTCTCGGCTGAGCCTGTCCCACGGCAGCCGGGCCCTGCCACGTACCTGCCTTCTCTGCTCACGGGGGATTTTCAAGGGCCTTTGAGGCCAGCGGGAACGCGAACGGGGCTTCTGGGAGGGCAGTGCAAGGGGAAGGACGTGCCAGGCGGGGCACCTTACCAGAGGGCTGCAGGCTTTCCTGGATGGCCTCGATCTCCGCCAGCTCCATGCACACGCCTTGCCCGTGCATCAGCGTGTGCAGGGGCTTCTCCACCCCCCGGGGCGGGTAGCAGCGCAGGCCCGAGCCGCAGCGGGGAGTGTACACCCCGCAGGGCATCCCTTTGGCCAGGGCGCAAGTGGCGCAACAGCCGCAGCCGGGCTCCCGCACCAGCTCCTCGCAGCCCACGGGGGGGCGGCAGCGCGCCAGCTTCTCCTCGGAGCAGGGCGGGCAGTGGATGGCCTCGTCGCCCAGGCTCGGCCCGGGCCCGGCGGCCAGCAGCAGCGCGGCCACGAGGCACAGGGGCAGCATGACCGCGCGGGGACGGGGCGCGGGCGCGGGCAGGCAGAAGGGACACACGGCCGCGGCGCCCGGCGCGCCTGGAGGACCGGAGCGGAGCGCGCGGAGACGGGGCGGCCGCGGCGCGCGGGGACCCGGCGGGGAAGTTAGCAGGCGCGCGGGAGCGGAGCGAGCCTGGCCGCCGAGGCGCTGTGCCGCATCTTCGGCCCGGCCCGGGCGGAGGGCGGGCGCGCGGGGGGCAGGGGGCTGAGCGGCTGCCGGGCTCCGCTCCCCCGGACTTTATAGCGGCCCCTGGCCACACCCCCAGCGCCTACCCAGAGGTGGGGGGCGGGGTGGGGGCGCGGGGGAGGGGGAGAGGCGGCCGTTAGGGGGAGGGGGCGCTGTCCTGAGCCGCCGCGCTACAACATCTGAAAGTCCTTTCTGCCCGGGGAGGAAGCGGCCGTGGCGCGCGCCCAGGGCGCGCTGAGCCGAGCCCGGGAGGGCAGAGAAGGGAGAGGGACGCGGGGGCTGCTTTTTGGCCTCCTTGCCCGCGACCTTGGAGGATTCTTCCCTGACCCCACCAGGCGCCCGCCGCAGCCCACACACGCGCTCGCGCGCGCGCGCACACACACACAAGCGCACACACACAAGCACACGCACACGATGAGACCTCCTAGCGCCGACTCCCCGCTCCGCGACTTGGATCCCTGGCCAGAGTCCTTCCACCCCACCCAGGGCTTCCAGTCTCCACCGCGGGAAACAAGCTGGTGAGGTGGGGAAAGCGGCACAGGCGCCCGAGGAGGGACCCCGGAGGGCCTCGTGGCCCGCAGACATTACCGCACTCCACTTCCACTTGCCCCTTCCAGGGTCCCCCCCCACCCCCTCTCCCCAGGGTGCACATCTGGCGCTGGGTCCACTCTGCCTTCCCCAGGATGGAGTCAGCGAACCCCGGAGAGGAAGGTGCCAAGCCTCTCCCTCCTTCCTGGGCGTTTGCGCTACTGCCCAGACCCACTCCTGGAGGGAGACTGGCCGGGGAGAATGCCACCCACCCTCTGTGCAAGTTGTGCAGTGCACAACTCCAGGGGGCACCATTTTACTTGCAGTCGCTGTAGATTCGTACAGCTGTTGTCACAGTCTTCCAGCAGGTGGCAGTCGAGGGGCTAGAGAAAGGGGTGCCTTTTCCTAATTCGCCTGGGTTGCTCTTTGGGCTGCTGTCACAGCCGGCTAAGCCCTCTGTGAGATGCTGTTGTCACCTGCACCCCCCACCTTCAACCCTGCAGTAGTGTTTAGAGCATTTCCTAGGTTTCCTCTCAGGTTCCCCTAATGCTTACCCATTCTTCTCCCACAAAGGCTTCTGCTATCTTGGAACTGGTTTCAGGGTAAGGTCGCCTGTGCAGGCATAGCTGGTGACCCACTGTGGGTTGGGAGAGGGGGGAGCTTGGCCTAGACAACTACCTGGCAGCCAAGCTGAGGTGTAGATCAGAGGTGGTCCTCCTGCTTCCCCTCCCAGGGCAGGGGTCTTTCTCTCAGTGACCTGGCCTCCTACTTTCTGCAAGTGCAGACTGTCCAGGTGGTTGGAGGAAGAGAAGGGCTAGAAGCTGGACCTGGAGGGACAGAACCAAAGTTATAAACTAATGGTACCTACTGGCAGCCATCAGGACTGCAGAAGGGCTAGGGAGTGATGACCAGGGACCAGCTTCTGGGGTTCTCTCCAGCCATCCTATTGGCCCTGGAAAAGGGCAAAACAAGTCCCTGGAGGAAGCCCAACCTGTCCTTGGTTTATAAACCAACCCGCCTCCAGTCTATGCCCTCTCTTCATCACTGGACCCAGTTCTGCCGCCAGCTGTGTGAACATGGCCACCACCCCCTGGAGCTTGGCTGTCCCTCACTGTGAAATGGAGGTAGGTCATCACTTGAAGCTCTTGCGAGAATAAAATGGTACCAGGAAGGATGGTTTGATCTCAGTGCCACACAGGGAGGGGTAAAGGTGCCAGGATACAGAGGAAAGAGACAAGAGGCTAGGTTGAAATCAAAAGAAGTATGTGGGGATGGTGACTGAGTGCAGGTAAGTGTGGAAAATCCCCAAAGGTTTTCAGGTGAGACAGATGCCCACACCTCTACCCCAGCACCACCATCCCCAGTCTATCCTCTGGTGCCCCGCACCCCATATCACTGTCTAGGATAATTCCAAGGAGAAGGGAAAACAGACATGAGGAAATCTTGCGAGCATCTCCCCACCATTCATGCAACACACATTTACTGGCGCTCCATAGTCTCAGGCTTTGTGCCACACACAGGGCTTACAGAGGAGGCCGAGACCACTCTGCCCAAGGAACTTGCTGCTAGTGCAGGAAGACAGGCCTTTAAATGAAATACATCTAAGATGTGTGCAAGTGGCCCGGGGGAGGCTTAGCTGGGGCACAGTGGGGAGGCACGTGTCATCAGTTCTACATGCAGGGTGCTGAGTATGGGCTTCTTAAGGAATCAGAAGGAAGAAAGAAAGCTAACTGGGTATGGCTTCCCCTGGAATCCTGGGTGGGGGGAGACAGTCATGTCCCCAAGTGTTCCCCAACCTGGTGGACTTGCCCTAGGGAGCATCTTGTCTGATGAGAAGGCAAAGTGCACACAGTAATGAAAACTGGCACTTAACAAACACTGCCCAGAATGCAAGTACACGTGTGTGCACTTCCCAATAGCCTCACAAGAGAAGTGCTGTCATTATCCCCTTAAGATAGAGAAACTGAGGCACAGAGAGATATAACTTAATGTCACTCAGCAGATAAGTGGAAGATCAGAGATATGGACCCAGACAGTCTGGCTCCAAAGTCTATATTATTAACCCCCTGTTTTACTGTCTTCCAGAACAGATGTCAGACGTGCTCTGAACAATTGCCAAGGGCAAAACAGGTAGAATGCAAGCTGGGTGTCAAGAATCAGAGCAGAGTGCACTGGCATGGAGCTGACCCTATGCCTCCCCATAACTTTGGCTTCCCAGCCCCTCACTGGCTGCCCCAACTGCCCCCTGTGCCCATAGTTAGTAAGGGTCTCGGCTTCCCTCCGTGTCAACTATGCCTAGGCCCCAGGTAGGGCATCCTCTGCAGCCCCCTCAAGCAATAGCACATCAGTATGGCTACTGGGAACCCCAGCAGGGTCCCCACACTTAGAGAGATCAGATCAGCAGAGCAGAGGGCATGTCCAAAGGATGGAACCTGGCTCCTTCCCTTAGGACATGCAGCTTCAGAAGTGAACACCAGGCAGGGGAACAGTGAGGAGAACAAAGCCCATCTGCAGTTGGGCTGGCCAGAATCCGGTTTCATATCTCGGGTCTAGTCGACCCTGCTACTTCCAGCTTTGTGGACACTTCCCCTTCCTCAGCTTTGGTTTTACCATCTGTAAAGTGAGGGAGGGAACTCACTGATCTGTGAAGTCCCAGGCAGGCCATCTAGGAATCTAGGACCCTGGCATGGCTTCAACCCTTGGGGTTTTCACTGCTGACAGGCACCAATGGAATCTCTTTCTCATTGGCTAAAACCTGCAAAGGAGACAGACGCCAGGTGAATGGTGTGGTGCCCAGTGAGCGCTCTGTCACTGTCCCCAGAGGGGATGAGGGTCACCCACGGCAACACAGCTTGTTTGTAATTGAGCCAAGACTTAAGCCAAATACATTCACTACCTGCTATAGACTCAGCCCACCAGGGGCCATGCTGCTCCACTGCCAGAGTATTGCCCACAGTCATGGGCTCAAGACTCAAGGGGTACAAGGGATCAGGCTGAATGTTGCCAAAGGAGAGACACAGAGGGGGCCTTGAGCAGAGAGACAGAGACATTACGGTGGGGAAATACTTTGCTCTGTCTTCCCTAACACCTGTTGAGTCAAAGAACGGGTGTCTTTTAGCCAGGACACCTCTTAGCCTGACAAATTGGAAGCCCAGAATCAGAGCATATCCCATACCCTTCCCCCCACACTCCCTGGAGGGCCTCCAGGTACTGTCTCCAACTCCCCCAGTCCTTAGAAAACCCCGAAGATACAACCAAAGGACCTCTGAACCCAAAGCGACTCCCCCAAAGGGGCCTCAAGATTTAGAGAAAACCCACAGAGGGATTCTCCAACTCATAAAGCCCAGAGAGAAGGCCTGGGGTACAGAGACATCCCCAGTATTCATATTCTCTCCAGCTGCTTGTCTCACTTCCCCACCAGCACTGGGGTTCACAGATAGCCCCCACATGCCCTCTGCTTTGTCCCAGGACTTCTGCCTCATCATCCCTCCTCCCAAGATTCCCGGTGACATCCCACCCCACTGGGATGATTCTCCTAGCAACCTGCCCCTTCAGGAGGTCACCTAGTAGCCTTGCCTCCTCCCTGAGCCTTCCACTGACTCTCCAGTGAATGGAGCAAAATGTGGTACCTTGGGCCCAGCGCTAGGCAGGTGGGAGGTACAGACAGAGGCACATGTAGGCCTTTCCTTTCTCTAACTTTGCCAGACTCCCCCTCCAGAGTAGGTAGCTCCAGCATGGGGTCTGGGAGTGAGATGGGTCCCTTGTCTCTTGAACCTACAACATCCTTCAGGAATCCAGGCTGGGATGGAGTGAATAGGATGCTCTTGGCTTCTGCGATTGGTATGCTGCCCCCAGGTGGGCAATAATAATACTGATAGGACCGTTCACAGAGGGCCTCCTGACTGCAGGGCATTGTACAAGGTCTGACAGTTCCAAAGGAGCAGGTAAACCTCTGCCTTCAAATAAGATTGTGGTCTGAAGAGGAAGACGGACTGGCAGACACGTCGTGATCAGTGCTATGTCATAGGGAGAAATGCACAGGATGCCAGGAAAACAGAGGAGCCTGAGTGGTTAGGGAGTTTCAAAGAGAAGTGATAATGGACCTGAGTCTTAAAGAATTAGTAGAAATTCACAATCTCTTCAAGCCTCAACTTCCATCATTAAAAGGGTCTTTGCCGGCCTCCCTGGTGGCACAAGGTGTTAAGACACAGCACTATGAAGCTATCTGCAGCAACTGCAGCACGAGTTCGATCCCTGGACAGGGAGCTACCCACATGGCAC